GGTGTGCTGTTGTGTTATTGTGGCCCAACCTGGAGTGAACTCATGCCCTTGTCATCACCTGTATGCTCAACTGCAGTGCTATCTTTAGTGACTCTTTTGAAGTTGCAACTGATGCAAAATGGAGTGGCCTATGTACTGACAGGAGAGAGCTGTTACAGTTGAACAGCATTTATATTGGTGCTGCATTGGTTGTCTGTAGGCTTCCAGGTACAATTTGAAATGTTGGTTTTGATCTTTAAATCCTTCAGTACCTTGGTTCCTGCATATTTGCAGATCTGTCTTCTGTAGATGCAACTGACCAGTCTAGCCCACTCATCCTAGATGGGAATGCTGCAAGGCTTGGAGACTTGTGTCCTAGTGGTGGCCCCTATTGTATGGGAACAACCTCTCCTTAGAGATCTGATCATTCTGGATGCATTTCGAAGGACAGTCAGAACAGAGGGCTGTGAAAGCTAATGTTGCCTTATGCTGGTGAATGCTACTTTGCAGTTGAAATGGTGGCCATAGTTGATTATATTGTTGTTTTATTGAGTGTTACCTGTATTATTTTGTTTTTATTGTTGTACGATTTTGTGCCTTCCCTAAATCTCTGGCCAACCCATAGATGGTCAAGGTAGAAGTGGCTTAAAAAGGTGGGCAAACAGACTAGGAACTGGTCCAAGAAACATAACCTATACACATTTTTTTCTTAATTATACTACTAACTCTGGCTTATTTCTGGCTTCTTCAAGAGCTTCTGATTAAAGCAGCTATGACTGATGGTGTGTCAACAGTCTGTGTATTAATCTTACCACTCTTGAAAACACTTTTATATGAGTCATTTTTGTTCCTGATAGCAACAAAACTTAAATGTGTACATAAAAGAAGGGAGTGGTGGAAATTGTTTAGTTGGTTTAAAAGCAGAATGAAGATCAAGCAGTTTCTTTTCTCTCTCCCTCCAGCAGCTCTGGCACCAAAACCAGTTAATCTTGTTTCTCACCTATTTTGCATTCTTGAAACTACATGTTTTTGTAGTTGAAACGTGCATTGCAAGTCAACCTCACACTCTTCTGATGGAAGTCTTGCCTATCCTTCCCATCATGTATTGATTTTAATTTATTCTCTGAATTCAAATACACCTTTTTCAGTCAGAATATCCAAGAATAGTAACACTTATTTTTTATTATTTATTTCCAGTGCAAAGGATAGCACAAGCATACATATTTGCATACATATATTATACTGTGATTATGTAAAGCAGAGAAACAGAGTAAGAAGTAATAAACCAAAAAAATTAAAGGCATGAGATAAGGAAAAAAAGGAAGTATAGCTAAATCTAATTTATATCACCACCATTGCCTATATCTTTCTATACTTTTCTAATTTGCACACCATTCTTGTTTCGACCACATCCATATTCCAACTCATACAGTGTCTTTGTTCTTTAAACTTCAGTCCTCCTTTTCTTGTTAATGATCTAATCACCTCCATTCTCTGTTTTCTTTCCTCTCAAACCATTCCCTTGTCCTTTATATATTTGCTTTGATATTCAGTTCCCATTCATTCTCTCTATATGACCAAACCATTTTATGTTACTTTTTTTGCACTGGTCACTCACATCAACACAGCCTGCCTTATACATTTTTTCCATAAATACATTAAACAACCAAGGAGACATCACACATCCTTGTTCTATTTCGATTCAGTGTTGAACCATTTACTAAGTATTGTTTTATTCTTGTGCATGCTTTCTTCCATCATTCATCACTCATATACCATTCAGCAGCCAGTATTCAGCTCCATATTCACAGAAAACAATCTATAATTGAAACCTATACACTTTATAGTACACTTTCTCTGAATCAACAAATGTACAAGTACATTAATACTTTTCTCAGTGAGCTGCTGAAGAAGACAAATCTGGGTTGCATACCTACTGCCTAGCATAAAGCCACACTGCATATCCTAAAAGTAGCTTGTCACTTATTACACCCTTTCAATCAAAATTCTGTTGAACATCTTCCCAGATACATTTAATAAATTAACTGCCTGTAGTTTTTGTGTTCACTCTTGCTACATATCTATTTATAGGGGAACAGTAAAGCCATTCTTGTGAGTCCCTTGTACAGTACAGATGCAGTCTTCACACATGTGTTAAGCTAATTGCATGTAAGCAAACTACATCCATATTTTAACATTTCTCAGTTCCTGTATTCTTACTCTTTTCATTGTTCTCACAACATTTATGACTTCCATTTTAGCATTTTATTTTGGGCATTAAGATTTAGAACATTCACTTTTAATTCTAGTTGTCAACATTGTGATTCCCATAGATGTCTGTTTCCAGCATTCCTTCATTTCAGTTTTATCCCAATCATATTATCAATTATATTTTTTAAGTCAATTCATTCTTCTGGAACGTATTGTTTTGCGCTCTACATTCCTTCTAAAACATATATTTATTTCTATCAAAGCCATTCTTTTCTTCTTTTAATTTAACTGCTTATTGTTCTCTTCAATCACATTCTTTGCAACTGTCTTTTTCTCTTTATACACATTAGATAGTATCTTTCTCTGATACTCATTTTTTTTTTGCAGCAATCATTCTCTTATATTCATTTTTCTCATACATAGTCTCTTTAATTTCATCCATCTACCAAGCATCCTTTTCACAGTATAGTACAGTTCTATATATAACTCTTTTTTTGTTTCGACCCATTTCCACTTTCAGTTCCATACTCTTTTCTTATGCCCACTTTCCATTCATTCTGTTGCGACCTTAATCTGTCTTCTAATACGTTTCCATACAGGACTTGCATTTTATCTTCCTATAGTTATTCTAGTTTAGTCTAATTTCTTTCACTTGTTTTTGTTTCTTCCATTTCCTCCAAGATCTCATTATCTTGTATTTTTCACTAATTCTATTAATCTTTCATCATAAACAAATCAATACAGTATTGCTTTTAGATAGGTATGCATTACATTGTCATATGTGCATTTGAATAGATTTATGCTTAAACTACATATTCAAAACAGACCTTTTCTAGGTAGTTATTCACCATTCTCATTCATTCTCGGGTCTCCAAATGGCCAAACATGTTTTCTGTATTTTCTTGTTTCACTCTTATCCATCCATTAATGTCATCTGGAAAATATTTTTCCCAGATCACATTCATTCCGAACACTGCATAGTTTTTCCCAAAATTAATCTTCCATTATTACCATTCCCTATAGCATAACATGCAACTTTCACCAACATATGAATTCCTGCCTTCATATGCACCTTCAACACTAATTTATCCCTTTCATTCATAATTAAATCTATAGTCTTCACCTCTCTGCATTTGTTCATCAACTTCATTCCACAAAATCAGACCACCTTCATTCAGATCTGTTAGATTCTTCCTCTTTCTCTTAGTTTCACACACACATAAAATACCTATTTTTCTTTTTCATTTCATTTGTAAATTCATGCTCTTTACCATTTACTCCTCTTACATTCCAAGTAGCAATCTTCTGCATGGAATAGTTATCACCAAATGGACCCATAGATATTCACTTCTGCTGTGCCTCATGACTTGGTCAATTACAGCTTTCATATGAGACTTTTTAGAGGTACCAGCTGCACCCATATCACATGCCACATTTCCTGCTAACACTAAGGCAGTACTATACAGTTTGGGCACATTTTAGCTACAGTACTATTCCACAAATGCCACCAACACTCAGTTTATGCTATTCTCTGCAAACTAGGATCTCTAGATTAGAGACTGTTTTATAAGCCAACGTACTGCATCTCATCAGCTAGGAGGTACATGCAGTTTACTGGATACACACTCAGGATACATTAGCACTAGCAAACAATATAATCACATAGTATACCCTGAATAGTGTGTTCCACCAAATTCCATTGGTACAAACACATACAGGTAGTCCTCACTTAATGATAGTTCATTTAACAACAGTTCAAAGTTACAATGGCCTTGAAAAAAAAGTACTTTACAACATGTATTTGCATTTATGACCGTTGCAAATGGTCTCATCCCCCTGCGGTCACATGATTGTGATTTTTGACCTTTTTACAATGGTGGTTAAGTGAGTCACTGCAGTTATTAAGTGAATCACGTAGTCATTAAATGAATCATGTCATTAAGCGGATTCTGACAAAGTCCATTGGGGAAGCTGGATTTGCTTAATAACCACATGATTTGCTTAACGACCATCATAAAAATGGTTGTAAAATTGGGTCTGGTCATATGGTGACTCAATGACTGTCTTACTTAACAACCAATTTTCCAGTCCCTATTGTGGTCGTTAAGCAAGGACTACCTGTACTTAAAATAAGTATGAACCTTCATTCAATTTTGATAGCATATAATGTGAGCAGTTTTCAGAGCTGCAGTAGTTCTTGCTATTTTGGTTGCTATAGTACACAAAGGAACTTTATGGGCCTTTTGGAGAAACAGTGTGTTCTCATCAGATTTCCTGTATCTGAGTTTTTCAAAGAGCTGCTGTTAATTTGAATTTCCTGAGATTTATGAAACAGTGAATTTTGAGGAGTCTGTAATCATGATTTTATAACTGAATCAGCATACAAATGCAACAAAAATGGAATCCTATATATATGTATATATGTATAGGATTCCATTTTTGTTGCATTTGTATGCTGATTTATTCTTATGCGGTATGTTGAACTTAATTTGGAAAAATGGCATACATATGCATATTGAGGTTGATGAATATTTATGCATATAAAACATTTGAACCGCATTATAGAATGTTATATCAAAAAACTACTCAGATATGCTATCTACAGAAAAATAGAAATTTCAGTGATTTAGCATTGTAAATGCTAATGTAATGTTTTTCCTGCATTATGTTAACATAGTTGTTAAGCTATTTTTAAGTTATCTCCCTTATTAAGCACCCAGATTTAGAATGGGTTGTTTGGAGTAGAACATTGGCCAGTTTTATGTTCCATATGTTAGATGTGGCTTATCTCCTGATTATTGTTCTTTCAGCATCAAAGCCATTGAAAGCCCTAACAAAGATGACGATACACAGTGGCTGACCTACTGGGTAGTGTATGGAATCTTCAGCATAGCAGAATTTTTCTCAGACATCTTTCTCTCCTGGTTCCCATTCTACTACATGATGAAGGTTTGTTGTCTTCTACTCCCCATGCACATATGTCTCTCTCAAGAAACAACTATCACAATGTGAAATATAATCTTGGATGATGGATTGAGTATAGTTAAATGTAGCTTAATCTTAGCTTATACAGTAGCTCTAATTCATACAGTGAACTTGATCCCCAACAATGATTTCGTTTCCGAACTTACCAAGACTTGGCTCTTATAGGAAGATGGCTTCTTAAACCAAAACCTGTTGGCTAGAACGATCATATCCAAACCACAATAGGATGACAGCATTTTCTTGATACATAAAATGTAATTGGAAAAGTGAAAGGAAAATCTGGATAACACACATTCATGCAAACTTCCATTTGCTTTTAAACATCACGTTTTCAAAAGTTAGTATTGGACTGCTGTTGCATTTGTATCAATCAGGATTGGAAATATCAGAAATTTTTCCATGTCAAGATCAACGATTTTATAATTAAGGTGAACAGGTTCTCTTAGACACTCTTTCATTTAGGCATTTGCACTTTGGGTATGTCTTTGTTTTGCCAGTATACATTCCATGTGCCAATGTCTAGGAGCCCATAAGTAAGAGGTGAGAGCGACAGCCTTCTATTGCTGTTGTTTTCTGGTATTTAGTAGTTGGAGGTAGGCTGACATTGGAGGTTCCATATAGATATTAGGGTTGTGCAGTGGTTCAGATTCAAGGGAGGAATGTGATTCAGAGAATACATAAGCACCCATGTAGCCCCTGTTGGAAAAGCAGCGGTGTCTTTTCATGGGCTCGAGAGACTGTCCTCCTAGTCACCACATGATCTCAGGAAAAGACTCTCTGTTTCAAGGAGTTTCTCACCTAGGTGCTGTATGTGTGCTTGTGCATGTTCAAAGAAAGCACAGCAAACCCTTCAAAGAAAGCACAGCTATGATAGTCATGTTCATACATCTATGCCTTTTAGCATCTTTGGAAACAGTAATCACGATTATTATAAATTCTTTCAGCATATTTTGTAGGGCTGTGTGAGGATTCAACAAAAAGGAGATTCAATCCAGTCTCTGAATCAATGATTTATAAATTGTTCACAACTGAAATGTTTTGAGTTGGAACACCCATTTCAAATGAAACAGTTTACTGTTCATGTTGGATCAGGATAATTTGCATATCCATAATATTTTGGTGTTTCTCTCATACCCTGAATTATTGTGATAGGCTAATGATTGCATTTTCAGTCTTCGCTCATTTTGATTAGAAAATGTTTTCCCTTAAAACTAAGCTGTGTCCCAGTACAGGTAGTCCTCAACTTACAACCACAGTTGGGACCAGAACGTCCATCGCTAAGCGATGCAGTCATTAGGTGAGTCATGCCTGATTTTGCAACCTTTTTTGCCATGGTTGTTAAGCAAATCACTGCATTTGTTAAGCGAATCCAGCTTCCCACAATGACTTTGCTTGTTGGAAGCCCCCTGGGAAGGTTGCAAATGGTGATCACATGACCCCAGGATGCTGCAACCATCATAAATACATGCCAGTTGCCAAGCACCTGAATTTTGATCACATGACCGTGGGGATGCTGTTCTGGTCATAAGTGTGAGGACCGGTTGTAACTTTTTTCAGTGCCGTCATAATTTTGAACGGACATTAAATGAATTATAGTAAGTTGAGGACTACCTGTATTGGAAAAGGCATTTGGGATGAAATTTTGCAAGTATTCCTGTCTCTAAGGGAACTTCCTGTCTCTGATTTGGGAACAAAGTTGCATATTCCTCCCTCCCCACCCATTTGCAACTATTTATTTGGGGAAGCATGCATGAGTCTTATTTTGCCATCATATATTCAGAAGTTTTTATTCTCCTAATTATGTATTTACCTGGAAGAATTCAGTGCCAAACTACTTCTGTATTATTGCCAAGAAAGCAACACTGATGTGTCCATCAAGTCACAAGAAATGAAACTTGATTTGAGGGAGAAATTATTTTATTTTAAAATTATTTTTTTATTAATAGATGCATCATAAGCAGGACATGCTGATTTTCTAAATCTTGCTTCTCTTGTTCTAATGCACAAGGAGATGCAAGGACAGATTTCAGGAATTTCTTGGCGTGCTATCCTTTTAGAGAATGCACTTTGATAGTATGTTCCACCAGTTACTGAGAATCACTTCATGCCCTAATATTATAGATTAGCACAAAAACTAATCACCATTTATGTTCCTGCTTTTCCAGTTCATGAAATGGTGGAGATCTTAGAGTTTCAGGGCTCTGTACACTATTTTTTTACCCAAACAAGTAGATTTTATCTGCAGTACCTTTAATATTTTTTGCAGAGGTTTGTGGTACCCATACAATATTTGTATTGCTTTATTGTCTAGAATGATTCACATTGTTATAGTCTCTGTGTGAGATGTTATTATATTCATACTGCAGATGAGATGGGGAGGTTTGTGCTAAAGCTAATGAATTAATCACAGTGGGAAATTCAGACTAGGGAGCTGCCTAAACTGTGGCCTCAGGATTACTGATATTTAAGTGCCACTGCTGGTAGCTGTATCACAGTCTGTTTCTTATTTGTTGTTTCTGTTTTGTACAGTGTGGCTTTCTGGTATGGTGTATGGCCCGAAGTCCCTCAAATGGAGCAGAGTTCCTTTACCACAGAATTATCCGCCCTTTCTTCTTGAAGCATGAGACTCGATTGGATAATGTAATGAAGGAGTTAAAAGAAAAAGCTGGAGAGACAGCAGACACCATTACTAAAGAAGGTGAGGTGAGGCCAGCAAGGCCAATTTCAAACAGGTTTACTTCATAGATAATTATGTATTAATAAATTGTTTTTAGTGAAGTTAATCAGAAGAGAAACAATTGTACAGTGAGATTTGCTGTGAGGAAGTATGTCTGTTTCTGAACCATGTGAGTGTAGAATTTGATACTGTATGTTGAAAAATTCAATGGTTATTTTTCCAAGGTAAGTCTCTATACCAGCCTTTCTGAATGTGTGGTTCCTCCAGTTGTGTGTAACTTCATCAACACAGGCTGGGTATTTGGGAAATGAATTTAACACATTTCAGGAACACTAGGTTGAGGAAGACTGCTCTAAGTCTATTAGGTCTGCAGCAATAGACTTCAGGCTTCATAAACAGTACTAATGGATGGAATAATTCCATTTTGGTTAGAAATTGAGTATATTGACATTTTTCATTATCTTTACACATAGTTCTTAATTACTATATGCAAATGTTGATGTTGGCCCATAGAAATTGAACATAGTCTTGTATTTCTACTCATGTGAATGTAACAATGATCTTGAGTTGCCTTATTATAGTACTGTTAAAAATCATGGATTTCTTTCCTTCTTTTAGCTAAAAAGGCAACAATAAATTTACTGGGCGATGAGAAGAAGAGCACCTAAAGTAATTAACTGGAAGAAATTTCTCCTTATCACTTCCTTTATACAGTGTGATGTTTCTGGGGACTGTGATACAGTAATTTGAATAATGTTGCCTTGTAAACTTTTTTGATTTTATTAAAAGAATGTATTGTAAGATTGCTTGCTCTTTTTGCAGTTCTCTGTACTGAAAGTAAGCATTTTTATTTAACGTCAGTGCGGTGGATGGCATCTAAAGCTTATACAGTTCCTGGGCAGAAAGAGGATTTTCAGTAATGTCTTGTCTTGCCTTTCATGTAATCTTCAAATAAAATATGCCCCAGGCTCTGAACTTTACACTATTTGTGCATGCAACAGCTGCATGTACAAATTTTATTTCATATTTGACTAGTTCTTGCTATAACATAGTTCAATATCAAAATGTAATGATCGTGATTTGGTGTGTGTGGTTTTGTATATATACAAGGAATAATAATTAGTTAGCCGTGTGTTACTGTGTATCTCCCTTCACACAGAACTTCTCCAATTGCTTATAATGCTGTGAAGAATAAAGTAAGATGACAGTTTTGCAAACTGATTTTCTGCTTGTAGTACAGATCGGCTGTAACTTGCAATATCTGGCCTAGTATATGTATATCTTAAGCATTCTCTTTAGACACTGAAAAATGAGCAATTTGGTCAAAATTATTTAACAGCATTACGTTTGAAAGTCGTAATTTTATTAAAAGGCATAAGCTTTCTTGTGCTGCAGCTCACCTCATTAGATGCAGAGAGTGCAGCTCAGAAAAGTTTACGACTTTTAATAAAATTGGTTATTCAGAAAAGGTGCTACCAGACTCCTGAATTTTTGCTAACACATAGACATGGCTATATAACATGGCTCTCCTCCTACAATGTTACCAGAGTTATGTAACTGAATAACTGGTATTAAAGCAGGAAAAAGAAAGAGAAATTTTCCCCTTCTCCAGTGGTACTCTATCCCAGTTCACTAAACTTCAATCCTGCAGTGGGTTTTTATAGTAATGGTATTGAATGCGAGCAGTCATGGCCACTGCTTGCTCAATTTATAAAATAAAATTTAAAAAAAGCCCTCTACTGTGTTTTTTGTCAGGTTTTAACTTATGGCACCATCAGATTTTACTTGGCCCTTACGTACTATTCATTTTATAGGCTTTGCAGTGTTTTGTCTTTGATAATTTAAAAACATATAACAGCATGAAGGGGGAACAATGTGTGCTTATGAAGGAAAGCAGGTGGGCTGCCATATCTCATATTCAAACGTTTTTTTCTCAAATGCACTGGCCTAGTTCCCACAAAAAGCTAGAACATGAGTTCTTTATTGTTGGCCACAGAAATTCAGACATTGCAGTTGAGTGTTACAGGCAAACCAGGCAAATATGGTTTAATAAACTATGATTTAAAAAATCCTGGTCTAGCATTTGTGAACGTACCTAGTATTGCTAAAGTGGATTTATTTAAAAAGGACAAAAGTATGAATTGCCTATATACACTATCTACTTTCAATTTGAATTCATTTCTACTGTTTAATATTTTTAATGATGTTTCAAAATGTGTTTCTTCAGCAAAGGTACTACAGTGATATGTCTGAATGCCTCCTCTGTAAGGATGATGTTCTATCCCACTGGTATTAAGAGCTACTGCCCTGCTTGTCTTCTTATACACTGAGTGAAACATTAAACTATCTGTACTAATATTCATCAATGTATCTTGTAGCTTGGGGGTTTCCCAGTACTTGCCAGTAGTATAGAAGAACCTCTTAAACACACATGTTGAAGGGGAAGGGGGGAGGTTTTTTTTTTTTAAATTCATTTGAATTGTAGAGATGTAGTTAAGGAGAGGCTCTCTGAAATATCTTATACCCTTGTATCTTACAAGTAAAATTGTAAAAAACCACAGCATCTTATTGAATCCTAAATCCTGTCACCTCCTCTAGTATAAACAATGTATTCTAACAAGCACACAAAATGTGGTCTATATATGATTATGTTCCATGTAAAATGAGATAATGTATGTCACTAAAACCAATAATATACATACCCAAAAACTATTTGCTACATACACTTCTTTGTTAAGTCCTTCTGAAAGAAATCCACATTCATACTTGCAATCTTCAGGAAAATACAGTACAACAAACCAAAAGTCCAACCAAGCCACATGGGAAGTTTCGCATTGGGAACTGTACTAATAAAATTGATTTGCAAGGGACTGAGAAAATGTCAACATATTACCTAGGGAACAGGTTTGTATGCTTGACTTATTTCCTTTGTAATTTTACATCCTTGGATTAACTTTAGTGTAAGTGGATATTATTGAATGGCATAAGTTCATACAGAAAGATGTAGCAGCATAAAGTAAATTCAAATTAAAGTCAGTACCATAAAAATGAGTCTACATGGCTCATTAATTGCTGAAGCAAATATCTTCACAGTTATAAGCTACAGTAGAAATAAGTCATAATCTTTCAGCCCACTAAACTAAAACTGAGGAAGTGCTGAAGGCAAAAATACATGACTTTCCAGTTTTGATTTTGGTGAAAGGTTGGAACAAATTGATAAACCAAGTCACTACTTTTCACATGAAGAAAGCAACATTGCTGTTTTCTATAAATCTTCACTATATATTGTCATTATGACTTGAAGTTTTTCATAGATTCTTGTATTTTCCCCATATCCAGCCGATTACTTATATTAACTACATGAAACACTGATAGTACATCTTTCTGTTTCAATTTAGAGATGCTGGTTATCTTAAATAATGTTATGATAGAAGCTTAAAAAATGTAAATACAGTGAGAACTAAACAATCTAGAAAATAAAAACAATTTTAATGTATTTGAATCCAATAGTTTTGATGTTCATAATCACAGTTTTCAAGATGTCAGGGTAGCCATAGATTTTGGTACTCCAGCCAATTTAAACTTGGTTAATAAACTAAGACACTAAAAATTATGTATTCAGAGAAATCAATTATTGTACATACCATGCTGGAACGACCCTGTGTCTATAGGTTTTCAGCTATTGTTACCAATCTTTTCTTTTTAAAAATATTTTTAGACATTCTTAGATATTTTGGCACTCAAAAATATTTAGTTCTGTAATTTAAATACAAATGATTCCTTTGGACATCCACAGAAAATACATTGATATAAACAGACCACAATTCAGATGAGTGAATTATTACTGCAGAATTTAAGAAGCTGCCTATGAAGCTAAGGGAGGACAGGTATGAGACACTAAGGACACCAAAAGCATATTTCTTAGTAGATGTTAGCAAATGCATCTGATTGGGAAACCATGTATAGATATAATTTTGATGAGTTACAAATCTATATCGTAACACCAAGGTTGCCATGAAAGCAAGCACAAATGGCTCATTTATAGCTATTCTTCTCTGAAATCCACAACACTGGGAAATATTAGGATACCTTACTTGGTTTTGGTGGGTTTTAGAATACAAGGTGCCAAACTAAATGAACAACTGTAATTTCAAGGCAAATAGGTAAAGAGATGGGGGGTTTGTCATCTTTCCATATAGCATTAATGTATTAACTAATCAAAATTATTTTCACTACCTTGTATAGAAAATGGAATGTATCTGAGCCGTAAATTAGCACAGAAAGCAGAGGCATTTCCACATGTGCATGTGGGTGTGCTGACCTGCAAAATGGCATATGCAGTGTCACAATCTACGATTCAGCCCTTTCGTACAGCACCATAGCTCGCATATATAAATACTGTAGGAATTCGACAGGATGCTGTGCCCACCATCTTGCACACTTTTACTTTCCCTGCAGATGCCTATGATAAACAATGTAGATGATGTAACTCTCCCAGGCATGGCATGGCTAGTTTCTCAACCTCCAACAAAAATAATACAATTGGAAGCACAGCTTACCAATTAAAACTTTCTAAACAGTTTAACTCAAACATATGTTTATTGTAATAAAGAGAAATAATTTCAGAAGCCCAGCATCACAACAACGTGTTTCATTGTAAGGTATCAAGTGAAAATGTATCCAAGGCAAACAGCTTTGTAAAGTATGAACTGCATCTATTTGTACAAATATTTCAATACATTAAAACATTCTCTTTCCACATGTTTTAAGTACTAGAGTAGGATTTTCTGGCTATGTTTCCAAATGGTTCAACCATATTATGCAAAATGAAATGCATTCCAATTCAGAAATTACCACAAAATAGCTTTGCATGTTTTCACTGGTCTGTCCAACTCTCATCTGAAGTCATTATTCCTCTGCAACCATATTCATCTGAAAATACAGCATTAGTCCATGTTACATTCATTTCTTCTTTTTTCCTTTATTTTTTTTGCCTCCTTCTCCTTGCTGTAGACATGGATCACTGCCTCCCATTTTCTGTGTCCTTGTTTTCAGTTTGGGAATTGTTTCTGCTGCATATAACATCACTGCCTTACCTAAATAAAGAGAGAAAAGATCAAGACAAGAATTCATCAAGGAGAGGGAAATCATGAATTATCCTCCATTTGCACCCCACAACGTTGCCACTTTTAACTGATAGCTACAGAGGGAAGGGCCAAAAATAGGCAGTTTTTAGATTAGATCACTGCAACTTGTCATTTGCGAGCTAGCATTCTGAATATGGCTGCTCATTTTGCCTGTAAGCAGGTGTCATAAAAAAAATAATAAATCACATGCTATTTTATTTTCAGTTTTTAACTGTCCTGTCTACATCAGGAACTTTGGTTTCCATTTGTAAATGAACAAAAGGAACAAACCAGTCTTGTGCATATTTATAACACTCACGTGTTGGAAACTGAGGTTGACATGGATTACCATCTTCTTGCTTCAGCTGAATACGCACTCTGCCCCTATACTGTGCATCACGGTTCCATTCCCTGGGATACATTTTGTTTTTCTAGCACATGGAGAAAGGTTTAGAACATTACAAGCAAGCATAAGCAAAAAAAAAAAAAAAGCCTACAACTGTAAACCTACTTTGGGAGTAAGAACTATTAAACTATTAAATTAATAGTCCTAAAACTATTAGGATTTATCCAGGAATAAATATATTTGTGCCTGAACTGTTTATTTTAACAGCATGCTTCAAATATATTACCTTAGTAACGCAAAGGAAAGCTCTGTAAGAAGTGTAATAATTTGAAGGTTATACTATTAACGTTTATTTGGAGCATACACCAAATATCAGAATGTTGATAATGCTTTGATGGAAGAACGTGCTGTGTGACCTTTTCCCCTTGTTACAGCATCATCTGCAAGGTCTTGCTACTTTCAACATTCTAAGGAGGGGCAGGACTTGTGTCACAATGTTGCTTCTGTGACTTTGACTCTCCTTACCCCCTCTCCCCTGATGCCACTGCTTTATCACAAATTGTGGAATTATAGTTTTATATAAGCATACAGTGGGAAATTACCAATATATATATATATATATATTACCTCCAAAAGCACATTAAGACCAACTGCTGCACAAACATCTTGGATTTCTGTAGACGTAGGATTTTCAACAGCCTAGAAAAAAAAAATCAGAAATGTTTAGGGTCTATGATTTCTTGCCACCAATGAAACTACCATGCATAGATCAATTGTTGTTAGCTAACACTAAAGAATTTGGAGCCTCCACATTTTATTGCAACAGCATTAAAAGGATTATGTGAATCTTATCCATCTACAGGAAAAAGAAAAACAATTCCTAAAATGTATTAAGGAACAACTGACTGAAACAATAAAAAAAAAAATTAAGACAATAAAATGGGAAGTCTTTAGGGACATATGGTATAGCCCATGGAATGTACACATCTAACAAAATGTGAGTGCACAGCTTTAAATTCTGCAAGCCATATACCAGCTTTAAGAATTGGCACTGACAGCCATGACCAATTTTTTACCTGATACAAAAAAAAAAGAAAAAAGAAAAAAGAAAAAAGAAAAGAAAAAAGAAAAGAAACTCATGTGACAAAAATTTTAGTTAACTAGGGAAGTAATTATAACTTGCAACTGAACTTTTTTTAAGATTATTTTTTATCCTGCCTTTATTATTTTTATAAATAACTCAAGGTGCCGAACATACCTAATACTCCTTCCTCCTCCTATTTTCCCCATGACAACAACCCTGTGAGGTGAGTTGGGCTGAGAGAGAGAGTGACTAGCCCAAAGTCACCCAGCTGGCTTTCATGCCTAAGTCAGGACTAGAACTCACTTAAGCCTGGTGCCTTAACACTAGACCAAACTAGGTCTCATAAACATAAGTGCTCCCACAAACATAAATCTCTTAAGCACTTTAATAACTACATTAAAACGGGGTTATCTTTCCATACATAAGACATAAATATGTACTAGCAAAACTAGCACTGTGGCTTGAATACCATACAGTAAAAAGACCGTTTTACTTAAAGCAAGTAGAGATACTATATCCTAGTATCTCATTAATAAAGGTTTCATGAAGTAAGTTAAGGAAATATACATATCAAACAAATACATTTTACTCTTTGATACTCTCCAAATTATATTTATGATACACAGATTTTCTTTCCTCCCATTACCCACAATTACTTTGTCAAGTGGTATTCTTCTTCCTTCTGCTATTGTCTTCTTGTTATTTATGTAGGCTGGATATATACAGATAAACCTAAGACAAGAAATAATAATTGAAAGCTGATATAGAATGTATAAAAGAATATTTATTTCTTCCCATTCAAAGTTCTAAATTCTTTTCCCAGCATTGTGCTAGTCAGGACACAACTTCCAAAAATGACATATGCAGCTCCTAAAGAAAATAAATCTACTATGGCTGAGAACTGTATCAGTGAAGGGGCTCAAGTTTACATTTTTAAAATTTAATAAAACTGAACTGGATAGCAAAAATATACGCATTTTATAAGTGAATTCAATACTGCCAAGTGCCAATCCTTACAAAGAAGTATCAGCAGGCTTTAGGGATGCCTAAAGTTGCAGATGCACCTAGATAGATAGTCCACCCCACCCCACCCCTTTTAGCTAGGAAACTAAACTGAATTCTGAGCCTGAACAACACCACACTGAATGTTTGGGGAAAAGGAGAGAAACTAAAACACTTGGGAGGAAAAATATAAAACTGAATGGCTACTTTGCTATCCTAATTTTTTTTTTTTTTGCAGATCCTGTCTGTAATATTTTTTAATAGACTTAATATATTTACTTATCATAATTTATCACAACATATAATGGGTTATAACAGCAGCACTACCACCAACCAAGGATATGATTAAAAAGAAGAGGCTCCAAAATGCATGGGCACCTGCAGGGAGGGCATGGATATCATTGCATCATGACAGTATCATAGAAATTATGTGAACACACAACTGATGCAGATTATATAATTAAGCATTTGTGTAACAACATGATGACGCACACATCATGACTTCTTATGGATGCCTATACAAACCAAATGTGTGCAGACATAAAACTGGGCCTCAGATGCTTAGATAATGATTGTTTTAAGGAAACAACTGCTAACTCATGTAAATTCATTATTCAAACAAAGTACGATGCTCGCTTCATAAACATTTGATCAATTAGAGTAGTAAAGTTTTTGGACTACGAGCTGGGAGACCCAGGCTCTGGTCTACCCTCCGCCAAGAAATTCAGTGCTTAACTGGGGGCCGGTCGCGTTGTTGTTGGGAGGAAAAAAGAAAGCAGCTCTTTGTACTCCTCTTTATGCTCTTAGAGGAAAAGGGGGATTACATCGAATGAATGAACGGCTGAAAAGTCTCTAAATATGTTGCAGCCATTATTTCTCCGCCCTTCCTGATACAGTTACGAGAGACAGAAGGGGGGGGGGAAATAATTAAGGGCTACCGCAGAGCAGGGATCAGCAGCCATCCCACGAAACAAAGCGCATTCCCACCACGTGCAAAGCCACGAGCTCCTTTATGGAAGCGACGGGGTCGTCGAGCTGCGGAGCCAAGCCTAAGAAAAGCGGGGAGCCCGCAACTTTCGCCAAGTCCCTCCAACAGATGCCCCTTTGAGCGTCTACCACTCCCGGCCGCCGCGTCCTCAATCCGCGAGCTGGCGGCGCCCGGTCCTTCCCCACAGCAGCCCAAGCCGAGGGAAAACCCCACGCCCTCCCAGGTTAGCTTAGCCGCGGTTCGTACAACGCGCGGGTCTGAGACGAGATTTGGCAATTCGCGGCTCCGGGCGTCGTGCGAACTCTGGCAGAGAGCCACGGCGCGTCTTCCGTTCCCACGTTACCGAGATTTATCGGAGGGTAAAGAGGACGCAGCCCAAGCCATGGCCTCCGCATCGGCAGGCGGCAGCGGCTTTTCGTGACTCAGCCATTCACCAGCCACGGCGAAACGGGGAGGGGAAGCGAAGAAAGCGAAACCAGATGTCCCGCCCTCACGCAGCGACGTCATTTGATCTCAATGGTTGGTGGAAATGTCACCCATGGATAAGCGCCGCTGAAACAGTGTCTTCGGTGTCGCGAGAGTTCCTGTGAGACGGAGCGACGCGTGTACCGTAGAGATCGGAAATCAAGCCGTGCTGGTCAAGGCTGTGGACGGAGGTCCCTGATTTTACCTCCTCGCCGGGCGGGTGACGTAGAGAACCACAAAGATGCCCAAGATTATATAGAGGGAGAAGCATGAAAGGTGCCGGAGTAGGCTGTTGGTGGTGATGCAGTTTCTATGAAGAGGGATGTTACACGTGACTGATTTTTCATTGATTTTTTACTGGATTCTACCTCTGTTGTGGAGACCCAAAGGATGATAAGAAGAACTTAATGAATGTCTGAATCCAGGCACAGTAGCCTTAACCCATGGGAAAAAATTCAGAATCCATACTGGATAAGAGTAAGAAACAAGAAACCAGGAGACTGTGAGTTCTAGTCCCACCTTAGGAAAGCCAGCTGGGTGACTTTGGACCAGTCGCTCTCTCTCAGCCCAACTCACCTCACAGGGTTGTTGTTGTTGCTGTTGTTGTTGTGGGGAAAATAGGAGGAGGGAGGAGTATTAGGTATGTTCGCCAACTTGAGTTATTTATAAAAATAATGAAGGCAGAATAAAAAATCTAAAAAAAAATTAGCAATTTGTCTGAATAGAGAAGGGAAGCTTTGTGCAATCCTTGCGTACCCTCCATAGAGTTATCCTGTGTGGCAGGACAGGATTGCTGAGCATGTAGCACTGGTGACTTTGACAGCTGCCATGAAAAGTCCCCCATCTTTCCCAGCTTGATGCCCTGCAGTTCTGTAGGACTTATCATCTAGCTATGAAGATTCTAACAGCATCAGGGAGTGAGATAGATTGTATTGGAACACTTATTCAAAACCACACAGCCTCTGGAAGCTCTGCTGTTCATTCCACTGAGTTGGTCCTGCCTTTCTATTCCAAAACCTTGTTCTGAAAGCATTACATAAAAGGAATAAAATGGAAAAGATTTTCAGGTGGCTTGTGGAGTTGGTGAGTAGGCCCATCTTCTCTTGCTTTACTGCACATGGTAAGCAGGAGAGCATGAGGTGAACCACCAGTCCAAATTTGCCACCTCCCAATGCTGCCCATTGCTGTCATGATTGTTGGATAGTTTCTTGCCAGCTGGTAGCATTCTGAAAATGGGAGAGCAGCAAAGCCAGAGGGTGTAAACAATCTCTTTAACACTGTCACTATTCAGCAGCAAGCCAAAACAGAGGCAAGAGATGCAGACAGAACATAGCCATGAGGACAATAAATTTTAGGCAGGGCCCTTTGCCAAGAAAAAAAGTATACTAGTTACCGGACCATTCTACATGTGTATCTAACCATGTACTACTTTCTATGTACTATGTTTATTTTTGCTGTCACATTATATCTAGATGTGTTAATCTACTTCAAATTGTGGAGGTATATAGAACTCTTTATGCAAAAATGTAAATGATATATGCAAAATCACTGCATATATCCCAAATGCCTTATCAATTTGGCTTCTGGTAGGTGCTTCGGAATTTCACTGACAATCTTGTGGATGATTTGGTTGACAATCTGGTCCGTCACTAGTAGGAGAAAGCATCTCAGATCCTTGATAAAATCACCTCTGAGCAGCTTCTCTCTGCCAGCCAGTCTCAGCTGGCTGCTCGGTTCTCTGAGGACCCCCAGGAAATGAAGCAGTAGACACAAAACCTAAGCACAGGTGGAGAACAACTAAGACAACTTGACGAAGCAGAGGTACATGCCCACGTTTAGGCCTACTTAGTGGTAATAAGAGCAGCAAAGTGTACTTACTTCTGTCTTATTGCATCAGCTTGTTGTCTGGTGACCCTGTTCCAGGTAGCCAATTCCCTTTTGGGTAGGGGCAATCCTATTGATTTATCATCTGGCTGCTATGATCACTTTGCTGGCAAAATCACTCAAATCTGGTCTAGTCTGGACTCTACTTGGGTGAGGCTTTGCATGGTGACTAGAGCACCATCTAGCCAGTTACTGAGCATGTTTAGCTTTTTATCTTTTGATAGAGGGCTCTGAAGGTTGTCTTTAACTACCTTGCCTAGATCCTTGTAATTCCTGGCTTCTTTGGGCATCTGGGGAAGTGTTAGTTCCCTCGATCCAAGTGGTGGTGCTAGGGTCAGTTCTCTCCCCCATTATTTAACAACTACATGAAGCCTCTGGGGGAGATCATCAGATAATTTGGGTCTTGGTACCATCAATATGCTGATTAAATCCAAATGTACTTTGGGCCTCCATGCTGTGCTAGAGATGCTTTTGAAATCTTGTCCTGGTGCCTGGAGATAGTGGGAATCTTGCTGGGAGAGAATTGGACCCTAGCAAGACAGAGCTTCTGCTTGTACGTTGGAGTTCCTCTATACTCTCTGCTGTTTCAGCTTGGCATGTTTACTAGTGGTTACATATCACACCCATCTTATGGGCCTTGCACTGGCTCCCTATTAGCTCTGGATGCAATTTAAAGTGCTGGTTTTAATCTATAAAGCCCTTTATGGTTTGGATGCTGGGTTATCTATAGGGTGTATCTCCCCAATAGAACTGACCCAACCACTTTGAAGCAGCTGGTTGTCCCCCCATTTTCAAGTCATGAGAGGTATAGCTAGGAAGCATTGTAGAATGGCCTTCTGTTAGAAGTTCTTTTGCCTTTGACATTATCTGCCCTCTGGAAAAAGTTGAAAACAGAGCAGGAGGAATTGGCAATGGGTGCAGAGCTCTTTTTTGAGTGCTCCAAATAAATGTATTTTATTTTTAATATTTTCTCCCCTTTCATTTTTTGAAGTGATATGTTGAAATTTTAGAAGGTGGTCACAGGCTTTTGATCTTACAGGGTTTTGTTTGTTTGTTTGTTTTTGGTTAATTTTACTGATTGGTGCTTCGGCTAAGTGACTTGTAAGAGATTTTCATTTTTTTACAAGTCATAGCCCTATAGAAAAAGATGGAAAATATGAATAAGAATGCCACCAACAATAAAACAAAGATTAAAAAGAAAAGTAAATCTAAGAAACATTGGAGGAAGTTCTGGATCATAGAGGTTCTTGGAGACTTTTAAAATAGAGCACCTCTTGCAGCCAAAGGATTTGATAAGTGAGTCACAATCTTCTATAAATCCTATAAGTAATAACTATGCCATGCCAGACTGGGAAAGTAGGTATGTGTGGGACCGGGAAGGTGAGGAATTATCTTTCTCTGAGAAGGGATTAGAAACAGAGAAAGAAGAGGCTGCAGATGCCACTTGTCTCACTGAGATATGGATCTGGTGGCTAAAAACTGCTTTTATTTGATTTCTATTCCTACCTTTATTTTGTACAATTCAAGGTGGCTGTTTATTAATAGTGCATACAGTTATTTCAACTTATTATCAAATAATAGCTGCTAATAACAGAATCAAGGAGCTGAAGAATCTCCTCAGTATTTATATCATAAGATCATCTGTAGAAATCCAAAGGGCTGAGCCTAAGGAGAAACAGGAAGTAAATTACACAAACCAGTTTGGGGAAGAGATGTGTTTGTGCAGCTGCAATGGGGAGGGTACTTCAGTCTCAAAGACTGAGCACACACACTTGTATTATCTATGGCAACTTCTGTATTTTACAACCACATAGTGTTATCTTAAAAATTGCAATGCCTGCTTCAACTGAGGAAACATGGCATAACATGCAAGCTGTCATGCATCCTCTTTCTCAGCTCTTGTATTGTCAAGTTCATAATAATGATTTGGTGAATATTGTGTGGCTTTCTAATTAATGTGAATTTAAAAGAACTGTCCTTACCTTCAGTTCTCCCACTTTACCTTTGATGATTATTAGAATGAAAAATGTTCTTAAGGGCTTTCATGTCATCCCTTTAAAGATGAATACACGTAGTCCACAACTTACGGTCATTCATTTAGCGACTGTTCAATGTTACAGCGGTGCTGAAAAAGTGACTTATGACTGGTCCTCACACTTATAACCACCGCAGCATCCCTGTGGCCATGTGATCAAACTTTGGGTGCTTGGCAACCAGCATGTATTTACGATAGTTGCAGCATCCTGGGGTCATGTGATCACCATTTGCAACCTTCACAGCTAGCTTCTGACAAGCAAAATCAATGGGGAACTGTGATTCACTTAATGACCACCACAAAAATGTCATAAAATCAGGTGTGGACACATGATGCTTCACTTAACAACTATACCCTTAACAACAAATTTTCCAGTCCCTATTTTGGTTGTAAGTCGAGGACTACCTATGGATCCGTCCCTTTCTAAAAGTCAGAAAGCTATAGCACAGAGATGTTGGAGAAGTTTGTGAGCAAGAAGAAATTAATATCTGAACATTATTATTGAGGGCATTCAAAGTTAAGTTTAGAATTTAGTCCTATGCTTAATGAGAGTTTGGAAAGAAAGTTACTTCATATTGTGGGCCACACAATAAAAGGAATTGATAACTTAAACACCTTCCATGGAGGCAGCAGCTGAGATCCATTCAGCAGTAGTCAGAAAAGGTTCTGAGGTTTCTATCTGCAAAATTCCAGTAAACTCATTCAGCCACTACAGCCTCTACTAGCTTTGTCCTGATTAACTAAGAGTATGAACCCTAAGTTTCCATCTTCTCAACCTTGATTTGATTAGGTATATCAAAAGGCTAAGAGAGAACTAGTTAGTTGATTTAAAGTGTATAAAGAAATCAAGCATCACAGTCTGTTTGAATCAGCCCTTCAAGGTAGGCCAGATCAAAAAACACTCCACATGAAAAGTAGATTTATACTTCATTGAGATACCTATGATAACAGAATTTTGCAAGTCTGTCCATGTCTTCCCTTCCCTCCCTCTTATACCCCAAGGAGTCCGGGGGTATACTGGTCTGAGTTTCTTTGTGACGCTCTCCCGTCTTTCCGGACTTAACATGTTTCTTCTGCACCTGGTGTTTCCTTAACAGCCTCTGGATTTCTTCTCCAAGGTCATCTCCCTGGTTCTCTACAGTTCAGGACCTGCTGCTTTTGAAAGAGCAATATAAACAACTACGTCAAATCAAGAAAAAGCAGGCTGTCAGAGATTCATGGCCCATCTAATTACAGCATTGTGATCAAAGAAGCCAGCTTTGTTTTGGCAAGGGACAGCTATTTATCCAGTTTCTAGACCACTCTACCTCTCCTTTTATATGCTACCAAGAGTATGGGAAGATCACTTTAGGACAACGTATATACCAGAAGAGTTAAATGAGTTTGTTGTAGAACCTGATGCCAGACTGGGCCTGTTAGCTCAGTAATAGCAGGACTGAAGAAACAACTTAAGCCTGGCAAAGCTCCAGGCAATTATTTTATCACTGCTGAAGTTATTAATAATAATCTGGAATGATGGACGTCATTGTAAGCTGTGTACCTTTATAGACTGCGCTAAAGGAATAGAGCTTGGCCATTATAGTGCCCATTTATTAAAAAAAAAAGCAATTATAGACCCATAAATCTTTTAAATACAAGCAGTAAATTTTATGCTAAACCTCTTTGTAATAAACTTATAGACTGGGTCAATTCAGAATATATATTGGCTGACAAGCAGGTAGGCTTTAGAGCTGGGCATTTGATTATAGAACAGTTTTAATTTAATTTTGTTTTAATTTTACAACTAGTTGAAAAGTTTATTGTTAAAGCTGGATCTGCATCATATGGGGCCTTTATTGATTTTAGGTTTGCATTTGATTTTATTTCTAGATCTAGGATGTGGTGCAAATTTAAACATTCTACTGTAGATAGATGGTTGCTCCTCTTAATGTGCAACCTTTATGAAAATTCAAGATGAAAAGTTCAATGCAATATACAAGAACATTACACCAGATAAATTCCTATCCATAGAAGAGTAAGGCAGGGTTGTATCCTGTCATCTTTGTTATTTAACCTATATATTCATTTTGTAGTGACCAGGTTAAATAACCCTGCATACTACCCTCTGAAACTGGTTGATAAACACACTGCACTACATTTGCATGTGGCTGATGCAGTATTATGACATACACTGCAATTGGTTTGAAATGAGTTCTGTGCGCTCTGGCCATGTACTGTAAGAAGGAAGTGCTGAAGATAAATTCTAAAATTAAGATCTTGGTGTTTTCCAAACACCCCAGAGTCCATGCCTGACAGTTGAATAAACACCCGATTGAACAAGTTAAAATCTTTAAATATTTGTGTGTAATGTTTCAGTCCTTTGGTAACCATAGGGCCCACTGGGATTATATTGTTCAAAGTGCTCCAAAACTGGCAATAGCCTGCAATCTTTTTATTATTCTAGAGGGGCATTATTTATACTAGCTCCTTAAAACATTTTCAGCAAAGGTTTGTGCACAGCTTTTATTTGGTGCCCATTTAGGCTCCTAAAGCTCTTTTGCCCCATTAGAGTATAATCTCAATTTCTAAGGGCTATTTTTTCAAGTGGTGTGAAGTGTGCTTAATGTGGTCCTTCGTGAAACTGATGTGATTAGAGTGGAGACTAGTAAATGGTTGTGTATATTTTCTTTGTGGTTGAAACCAGTTTTTTTTCCAGTGTGCCTAGGTACTCTGATCCTGGTTGACAACTTTGAATCAACTGGAAGACTAATTCATTGCAAGTTGCAGTGTTATGGCTTTTCATGAGACGCATTACTGATGGGTTATAAACAGGCTGTATCAAGCCTTAGGCAACACGTTATCGATGTAGAAACACAATTACATCCATCAGCTGTCCCTAGAGATTTTTTTTTTTAAAGTAAGCAGTCTCCCTTTTTTAGAACAAGATATCTAAATCATATATCCATCCCTAAATTTAGGACAGCACTAACCCTAGCATGTTTTAATGCACTTCCAACAGCTGTCCTTGAAGGAAAGTTAAGAAAAATCCCTTAATCTTTAAGATTCTGTTCTTGTAGTGAAGGGACAGTTGAAAATACGATCCATGTATTGTTGCATTGCCCATTTTATAGATGCCTGGCTGTATTTTGTATCTGTTTTAAGTTGCTGGGCCATTTGGATCTATTTTATGTACAGTTGACAGTTGCTGTTAGCCAGCCAATATGATTTAGTTTCTTTGAATGTTGCTTTGTTTGTAAAACTATTATATATCTTCCTATCCTTTTATGTTGCATGTTTCATTTTTATTTTAAGTGGAATTCTTCTAATTGACCATAATAAAGGATGAACAGAGAGACTGAAAACAGCTTTTCCTGAAGGTTTTTGTGGTCTGACACCATGTATTGTTCTGGGGGATTAATTGTATTATAGAATGATTTAATATATTATCTTTGTGAGCTGCCACAAAGGGCAGTGGTTGTAGTGGGATATATATTTGATAAATAAAGTGACCCACTGGAATCAGTCAGTCCAGATAAGTAGTAGATATGCTTTCTGACATGTTAGATTTCAGCTATTACTGATCCAGAAGGTTAAGTATGTGACAACTTTTAGCTGATCCAGATGATAAGATTCTTCACTGATCCTATTCAGCATTAATTGAAAATATTGGCATATAGCAGTTATATATGTATATATACACACTATAAATCTTTTCATAGTATGTGCCTATTTATATTTTTCAAAACATAAATTATCTATATATCTCTGTTGTGTGCTGACTTGCAACTTCTAGCAAAGCTCCATATTGCCTCATGAGTATAATACATTTAGTTACATGTATTGTAATTCCCTAGGCATTTTTATATTGCTCATCTTCTGAGAAAATATCTGTGAGATTGGTCCTTAGAAACAGAAAGCAGCTGACTACATAGGCAAATAGGCTGCATATTTTAAAATCAAGGGCTTCCAAAACAAACAACTGTTAAAAAAAAAAAAAGAAGCAGTGAGTGCTTAACAGTAAGCCATTGCTCCCTTGAGTTTCCCAACACTTTTGAATGTTGGCACATAATCCAACAGCTGATCAGTGCTAAAAAATACACAAGCATCTGGCTCTATCATACTCAGTAAAGCTGATCAACATATACAAACACCTTCAAGAAATATACTTTAATATTTTAATGAAGCACAAAAAGTCACACTGAAACGAAATTATGCTTTAGTCTCACTGAAATCAATGGGTAAGTTAATAATTGACCTATCCTAGGCATTTCAATAGTACCCAAGTATGCCTAAGCTTTCAATATTGCCCTAACCTGATCTCTTGGCTAGAAGTGATTTGAATGAGCCAGAAGTGTCCCAAAGTTGGCTAGAAAAATGTCTGCCATTAAATTTTCTGGGGTACCCACAGCAAATTTAAAGCATAGATCTCCCTATTATATCTCCACTGGTAGTGGACTCCCAAAGGTGTATTTCAAAAGTGAATTGGAGGTAGCCTGGGGTTCACTAGAATAAAAACCCTTTGTTCCATCATGAAATCCATAAATAGGTTCTTCCATTGCATCAGTTTAGAGTATCCACATTTTAGACAGATCTATAAATCTGGATGCAATCCATGTAAACTGACATTTCCTTACCCCTTGGCATCTTTATGCATGTAGTACCTCATTCTAGATGTGGCCTATAAATGAAGATAGGCAACAACTGCTGGACCATGTCAGTACTAAGAAAAAGCAGTGAAATGTTTGCATGATTAATTATAGGAATGCCATATTGCAGATTTATAGTTTAGCAAAGTGAGATTTTATTTTAAATAATTAAAAGGGCAGTTTGCAGAAAACAAACCATATATACATTTTTAGCAGGTAGAGTTTTAGCTCTCGAGAAGATTGTATAAAATACGTATTTTCAAATACGATAAAAAGCTATTTTAGATATATTTTGAACCAAGATTCAAACCAATATGTTTCCAGATTGTTTTTTGATGAGTGAAATTTTTCAAATAAATACCTGCATTTTTGTCCAGAATACATATATTAAAAGACAAAAGATTGTGTCCAGTAAAGGCCATACATTAAGTATTTGCTCAACAGCAATAATGGACAATTGTATGAAAGATTGTCTAGCTCTGAAAAGTGTTGTATTAAGCCAAAGCCTGTGCATGATATATTAGTATCCTGTATTCCATTCTATTTATTTTAATATCTATTCAATATAAATCTAGGAGTAAACCAACTTTAACCCTCTCTTGTGCTTAAAGTAATTTTTCAATCTAGTTTAAGAAAGAATGGAACCAAGGATAGCTGTGTGTGTATTTAAATACATCCATGCACATGGATACCCACGCACACAAACTTAAACATAGTATGCTCATTTCTAATTTACAAATCTCATGGGAAATTCTGAGAAGTTGAGCAACCATTCAGTTATCAGTTATACACCGTACTGTTGAAAACGTATTCAACCCTTTCAGTTTTACAGTTCTCAGATTCTGCTTTGAAAATGCCCATTCCAGATATTGAGGTCACGGCTAGCTAGTTTAATTTATTTAAAAAAACAAGATGCTATGGATGAATTTAAACAAAAACAAGACAGACAAAAGAACACATTAAAAGATATACAAACAGTAACTTTATCAGGGTAACTACAACATTAACTGTCAAACTTATGGTGATTAAGCAGAATTGGGCAATCCTCAAGATCAGCTGTTAATTAAGAAAGGTTATTTGGGCCACTCACCAAGAAGAAAGTGCAACATAGAAGCACAGATATAACTGACATAATCACTTTTGCACAGGAATATTGTTACATCTAGCACATGTGAGGGCTCTCCATGAACTAGGCAAAAGGCATGAATTGGTTATATAACCAGCACAAGAGAGAGGTCTTCCACATAGACCCTCCCCCATCCCCCAATACAAGGAGGGGGAAGTACTTAGATCTTTCCAAATGTCATTGTCAAGAGCCAGATGTCTTCATCTCTATCAGAGCTCTTTTGAGGCCAACTAGAATCAAATATTGAGCTGACATGTCATAACATTTTAGGTCCAAATTTATACCTGCTCCAGGGTTATAAATAATTATAATGCAACATCTAGAAATCAGCTGTCAGTGAAAAACTAGTTTAAGCCAAAATGTCCGATGGCAAAGCTGCATGCAAACCTCAACAGAGATTACGCCAGATTCCAATTTCAGCAGGGCATTTGATACACAATATGGTTCCTTTTTATATGTAAAAATCAGGATGGCTTGATAAGCAGGATATAAAAAATTATTAGAATACTGATTTTTTTATCTTGTTAATGCACAGTGAACTGCAATGAATAGTTCTTTACATGGTTTGGAGTGAGCATATTACAGACAATAAATGACTTGGATAAATAAACTGACAGCAAATGGAATTCACAATTAAATGAACATCTTAAAATGATGGACAGCAGCAATAATAATCTATATATGTTTGATATATTGGAACTAAAAATGCTTCATGTAAATAAAAAGCAGAAACATTAATACATGCACATTTTCTGGGTCCTTTTGTTAAAAAGATGCACTTTGGTTTGTCAAATAATTGGTTTATTTCAGTGTAAGTGAGAATTAAATTACAAAAGAAAAGCTCTTGGCTTATACATCAACTCACAAATAAGGAAGTGGAGAAAATTAGTACAATTCTCATTAGCAAAACTCTGGAAAGAAGCAGAAAAACTTTAAAAGAATCTGATGATTTTTAAAAAAATGTTGCCTTAATTTCTTGACTTGGTTCTATCCATACTGTACGGTGCATCACTTTTACAAGCTAGTGATTAAATTCAGTAGAAGCAAAATTGCAGTAATCAGCAAGTACAAATACGGCAATACTAGTGATCTTGAGATGCCACATTAAAGCTTAATAGTCAGCAAAGACGGGAGCACATGATGGGCTTTTCCCGTTATATTTCCCTATCTTCTTTATACAGAAAGTGAGGAAAGGTAAATGGAGATGGACCGTACTGAATACTGATCCTGTTTACTGATCCATATTAGATGCCACACATTGAAATGTACATTGAAACATATACATTAATGCATCACAAAGATTATATATATGATAGGCAGGCCTTGTGTTCACATAAGATATTCTACCAATATGGTATGCCAGTAAATATGCCCAGTTAAAAGGCAAAGAGTACATAAATATGTGTAATCTTTTTGATGGAGAATCAGTAATAGAATTACATATATTCTTATGCAATACTTTTCGGGAGACCCCTTGAATTTAAATTAACTTATTTTTGTGGTCTTAGTAATGTTAGAGTTAGTATTACTGGACTACCTTGCCTACCTATGTCTGTGCGTTTTTTGTTTTTTTTTTAGCAAATGGAATAGAGGCTGGGAAATTAAGAATCAAGCCTGCATCATAAGATACAATTATGTAATGCTAAATAAATTTACTGTTACAAGGCATGGTCTACTGCCTCCTCTTCCAGCACAGCCATGAGTTTAGAAGCTCTTATTTCTGTTTTAGGCTAAGCCTTAGTTAGAAAACCTGGTACTCTTTAGGTATTTTGGACATCATCAATTCTGGCCATTGTGGCCACTGGCAAATGATTGCAGGAGCTGCAGTCCCAAACACCCAAGGAAAGTCCCTAGATTTCCTATCATGGAGTAAATGCAGTTTATCATGATGTCCAGACCTAGACAAATTGCAATTAATCTCAACTATGGTTAATATAAAAATGCTTTATTTTAAGTGTAAAAAGAGAAAAGATAGGGAAATAAGTAGCAGGGACACTATTTCTCATGTTATCCAGAGTCTCCTGATATGTGTGAATTTGGCCACCAATCAATTGAAAATGCATACTACCTGTTGATGCCACACTAGCTTGATGCTATCGTCTGGTCTGAAAAACTAAAATTTATACTATAACAGTTGTTGTAGCATCCCATACAGTAAGAAGCACTGATCTGACTTATGAATTAAACTGGATTATCTGAGAACATTTCTAAACAGATTTTTGAACTTCATAGTCAAATAATCACAACTGGATTGTAATAATGGAAACCTGCCTGAGATACACATTTGACTTGCTTACTACTGTTTTAATTAACGACGTGCACACACAAGTTGCTATTTCTGTATAGAGGCACTTAAGTTAAGTAGAGTACTTCTGCTGTAAACAGTCTACGGAAGGTCTCTAAAGTAAAAATATATGTGAATACCAAGTTGGTTTGTCCAGAGCAGTTTAATATACAAATCTTATTTTCTATAAGACACTAAAATTTAGTATATTGTCTCTAGTGCATTAACCAAATGAAAAAAGGCCAAATGAAAAAAATATTCAAAGCAACTTTCATTCTCAATACTTTCCAAGTTATTTTCCTTTTCAAAATAAAATGCATTTGTATATTGAAAGCACTCTAGGCTGTGCAATATGAAATTTATGCCTTTGGGCATATCTATGGAAGTACTTCTTTTAGCCTCTTTTCTGTATTGGAGGAACCAACTAACATTTCAGCTGAAAACACTAATGCTACCTCCTAATGCTGCAGCTGATACATATAAACAGCTATTATAAATTGGAAGAAAACCAGTGTGCGACTGTATTAGGCAGTGGATACAACCCAGATCCATTCAAATTTGTAAGAATGTTTCCACTGACTTCAGTAGAATAATTATTGTTCCCAACATGCCTTTTGAGGAAATGCATTATATGAAACATATTTCTTAAACATATTAAAATTAAACATTGTTATGTACTGCAAAAGTAACACACAACAAAATGTACATACAGCAATAATTTATTCTGTCATTTAGTTTTGCTGAGACTTCACCCATGTCTCATTAATAAAAGAGCAGCCATCTTACCTCAAATACCAGAATATACAACAAGTTACAGCATAGCAAAAATCCTACCTACTGTCAGTTAAAATCTAGTTCTGGTAAAATAATTTTGTTCAAGGTTTACACATACACAGATGTCCTTTTTTTTCTTTTTTCTTTTTGCAGAGCACAAAAACCAAAATGTATTCATTACACTATAACTATCTATGCACGTTATGTGACCACAGAAATGTTAATTATCATTTCAGAAAATGAACCATCAGCTCTATCCATGCAGGAATAAAAGGCTTGTTCAGCAGAAACCATATTACTGTGAATTTCACAGCCACATGATTAATTAAAAGGTTAGGTGGCTTCACAAATAGTAAGGTGGAATTTTTTTTTTTTTTTGGCATAAATACCAATTTTTCCCTGAAGTTATTTAGCCATTTTGCAAATCTAGAAGTGAGTGATATATTAATAGAATTATTTATTTTAATCTGTTTTTCATCTTTCTAAATTCCCCCAACCCATCAAAACAATTATAAAGTTATGGGATGTTAATTAAATATATGTAAAATATACTGTACAAATATAATTATTTTAGCAATTTTATTGCTAAATTATCAATTGGGATTCCCTCAAATATTATTAGTGAAGACAAAGAATATCATATATGGCTTCCAGAACAAGGACCCTCTACAAGAATCAAACTATTTACAAAAAAAAGAGGGGGGGGTAACCACAATTTTGTTGTTTTATTTTTCAAAAATCCACATGTATCAATACATCATTAATTTTTCATTAAACAGAAGTCACCAGATAAGACCCCGAATGGCGCTTAGGGCTTTGCGCACCACTCGAATCTGTACTTTCAGTCTTTGAATCTCGTTTTTTTGTACTGTTATTTACTGGTGTTGGTATCTGTGATGGCCGAACAGAACTGTTATCCACACTACTTTTTCTGGGGCTTGGATTATAGTTAAAAGGCGTCACACGTGCTGCAACAGCACCACTGGGTGAACTGTGTTTACTTGAACTGCTGGAACTAAATGGGGTGCGCTCGTTCAGAGTGTTTTCACTAGTCTCTGGGGCAGCTGTAGAATTGCTTAGAACAATTTTTGTTTCAGTTCCTTTCTTGTCTGGACCATCAACTTGAACAAATGAATTCAATCGGGTTTCTAAACCCATGGTGCGAACAGGGACATTTCCATTTCCGGTATTTTGTTTTCCATGAAGATCTTTTGAATCTTTGCTATTTATACTGCTTTTCTCTGAACCACTCTCAATAATGGGGGGAGTGTTTCCCGTTGGAGATTTTCCAGATCTTGGATTATTAATAGGACAGTCCTCAATCCTCACCCATACATCCTCTGTTTTAGAGACTGCAGGGGCCATCTGGTAAATTAGAGTTTTTGAATCAGCACCATTGGTAGGACCTGATGAGATATTCTGAGGAGGACTTGTCATTATTTGAGGAATTTCATTTTCCTTTATCTTTCTCCAAGTCCCTTTTGTTGGTGCTTGATTTTCTTTACCTTGTTTGAGTCCAGAAAAAGAAGTTACATGTTGTTTTTCATCTTCACTTTTTGCCTTTTCACTGGATTCTGAAGAAGCTGAAAGAATTGAGGAAGAACTTCCTGTCCTTCGCCAAGTACTTACACGAGGAAGTGATGAAGAATGTTTACTGTGCTCACGCTTCCATGTCCCTGATCTGTTAATTGGCAATCTGGATGGACTCTCAGAATGAGATCGAGTTATGTCATGCCGTTTTGTTGGCCTCCCATCATTGTATTCTAAAGAGGGACTCAAGTTAGGAGGTAACTTTCTCCAACCACTGGCTTGGATGGCTGAGTGAGCAGACAAAGACATGTCAGGAAGTGATGGACTTAAAACTGGAGTTTGTGTTTGGGACTGGGTTGGAGAGTCTGGTCTAGAAGGTGACAAAGATTCAAATGAGACAGACTCTTCCAATTTCCTTCTTAGAGTAGGACTTGGGGTTTCTTTAATAAAAGTTGACTGACGTACTAAAACAGGTCTCTCTGACCGGTCAGATTCACTCCCACTTGATTTGGCTGATGACATTCTAGATAACTCAGTCTTTTTATTTGATCCACTGATACCAGAAATTTGATTTAATCCTTTTGAGGCAGATTCACTTCTAGGAATTCCACTAGTACTTTTAGGCAATCCTGTTTGTTTTGCTACAGTTTGCTGATTCATTTGTCTACCTGGTGATGTATATGCCATTCTTCCTGAACCTGAAGATTTGTTGGAAGCTGTACTTGGTGATGCTGTTCTTGGCAGCTGGGAGAGCTTATTGGGAGGACTTATGCCATTTCTACCTGGTGAAATTGAGTTTCTGCCAGGGGACTGCAGAGGCCTACTTAATGGTTGTTGTTGTGGTCTAGAAGGTGTAGAATCTCTAGAACCTGACCTAGAAGGCCCTTTACTTGAGCTACCCTGTTGAGATGGCTGTCTGGATATAGGGCTTGGGTCAGATTTCACAGAAGGTTTGGTAACTCTGGGAGAGCTAGTAGAACACTGGCTTTCATTAGGACTTTTGGATGCTGCATTCTTTAGTTGTGGTCCTTTTTTAGAAACTGGACTTGTACTTGAAGAACTATTTCGAACTCCAGGAATATGAATCATTGTCCTACCTCGGGAAATGGAGGGCATATTTGTTTGCAAGGGCTGTTTCAAGTGACTTGTAAGTTCAGAATTAGATCGAGTTTTACCTGTAATCATGCTTTTATAGACTTTCTTTCCTCCTTTAATTCCTTTATTTTCAGACTCAATTTTCTTATTTTCCAATGTACTCTTTTCTCCTGGTTTAATAATTCTTGGACCCTTATTAGTAGTAAAAGGTTTTTCTTCTTGATCTGGTGTAAGATGAAATGGTGATCCTAAGGAAATTCCTGATTTCAATGAAAGGATTGAATCTGAATCTGATGAAGCTTGTCTAGATAGTGATGCTGCTGCTGCAGCTTGATGTAAGCTGCTAACTATAGAATTTGCACCTTCCTGAATAGCTTTCCAGTCAAAGTTCTCTGAATCTGGGGAGAAACCATTCTCTGAATCAGGCCTTTGTATATCTTTCAAATCTAATGTGAGGTCTTCTGCTAAAATACCTATGTTTCTAGAACTAATTTTTTCACTATCCCCCTTTGATCTTGAAGGCTTTTTCTTTTTAGGCATGGCTGAACTAATACATTCCTGCAAAAGGTCATCTTCTGAATCAATACTAAGAGAACTGAGGGAACTGTTCCTTGAAAAACATACAGGTGTATCTTCTACATGAAATGATTTAGGAGCATATCCAGAAACTTGTGCTCTAGTTGATTCAATGTGTTTATCAGGTGATTCTATTTGTTCTATAGGTTCACTTCCTTTGTCATTGTTGTTTTCCTGATCAATATCACTGAGAGAACTCAGAGAGGAATTACGAGAGAAACAAACAGGTGTATTTTCTATTGCAAAATTTTGTGTTTTTTCATCTGTAGCTGTAATGTCTTTGGCTGATGAACAAAAAGAGGTCTGGTTTTGCCCCAAAATTTTGGGTTGATTTCTTCCTGATGAAGAGTGCTTTTGGCAAGCTTGTGTTCCACTGACTGATTGTTGATTTGAAATATATTCTGTATTAGAGCTGGCTTCAATTTCATTGTCTTTCTCCTTTCTCAGTTCTGCCTTTTCTCTCGAAAGATCCACATCATCATCAAATTCCAAGGAACTCAAAGAGTCATTTCGAGAAAAACAATACGGTGTTCCTTCAATTGGAGTATAGTGGTGAGGAGAATCAAATGCAAAGCTTCCTCTTGTACGCTCGTCGTTATTTGGAGGTTTATCATTAAAATCTTTTGAATTATTTTCAAGACTTTGTTTCTTTGTCTCTTTACTCTCATTATAAGTTCTTTCACTACTAAAATTATTTTTTGACTCCACATTTTTTCTTAAGCGTGTTCTGTACTCATTGCTTTGTGGCATAGGCTTTACTGGTGATGTTGGTTTCTTTTTCTCTATTTCTAGTTGATTTTTAGTATTTATTGAGGAAGATGTAGATGCTAGCTGGATCTGATCCATTATCTTTTTCACTCTGAAAGGTTTGTGACTTTTCCCTTTCGGCATAGCAGAATTAATACATTCCGCAAGGATGTCATCACCTTCTTCTGTTTTGTCATCATTCAATCCAACAGTAGATCCACTTTTTCCCCTTTGAGCATCTTCTGTATTTCTTCCTTCTGTGGGAATTGTATCTCTCTTTTCAATTTCAGCTGATTCCACTCCTGAAACAGCAATCCCTGTACTGGCCAGTTCATTTGGAGGTGATTCTATTGTTAGATCACTCAGAGATGTAGCTGTTGAAAAATTTATTGGTGTTCCCTCAACACAGTAAACATGTGGCATGTCATCACCAGGCGTAAACGTAACATGCTTTTGGGAATGTAATCTGCTTTGAGAAGGAAGTAGTTTATATACAGGCAGATGGCTTGGTTTTCTGGCTACAGGTGGAGGTATTTTAGAAGCGGTTACCTGGGAAGGCTTTTTGACTTTACGTGAAGATTTTGTTGGCATAGCAGAAATAATACACTCCTCCAATATTTCAATATCATCTTCATCTGAATCATCTAGTATATCTTTCTCTATTTCAGTGGGTTCTTTTGTATTTTTCTCTAGTTTATCCTTTGTATCATTTGACTGTTCAAGTTCTGCTTCATTCACATGATCATTTTCATGCACAGGAGGCATTATTCTCAATTCTACATCTTTCTGTATAAATGGTTCATCAAGACTCAAAGCACTTAGGCTTGATGAGCAAGAAAACCCATCTGGTGTACTTTCTGTTGCAAAGTGTAACAAAGTGTCAGCGTCTTGCAATACCTGCACCCGCTGAATAGCTGTATTTACAGCTGTTTGTCTTGGTCCAGATTCTCTCTTTTCAGCGTTTGATACTTTTGTTTTGGCTGCTTCTCTCTTTACTTGGGTCACTTGTGTAGGGGGTGGAGTTTTACTTCTGCTGGGTGGCATTGTTTGCCCAGGACTATCTGGAAGATCACTTGGGCTTATTATACCACTTATCATCCCACTACATGGCTCACTTTGAACAGAGCTAGCAATTGAACGGCTCTCAAAACTATCCAAGGAACTCACAGAGGTACATCTGCTAAACATGAGTGGAGTCTCCTGTACATAATGTTCTGGTGGGCTCTTGGGAGTCTGAGCACCACTTTTTGAAGGAGATTTGGCACCTGAAGAAAACTCAACAACTTTATGTCTTGCTGAATCAGAAGGAGATATAGTAGAAGTCTGAAGTCTATTTGGTTTTGTTCTAAGGTGCTGGGAAGCTAATGAGGTTTCATTAGTCGTAACTGCTGTTGACAGACTCCCACTGTTTTCTTTCATTCCCACTATCTTCAGAAAGTTATCAGTATCCGTTACACGTGTGGAATGGTCGCGTCCTGTTTCATCTTCAGCTGATGATAAAGATGATAGAGAGCTACATCTCGAAAAACATATTGGTGTATCTTCTACACAGTAAGTTTGTATTGTTTCCTGGTTAATGGAAGGTGCTTTGCAGGATGTAGGCTTCTGAGTATGACTTGCCCTATTCTGAGCAGAATTTGGATGAAGCTGATTATGCTTTTTTGACCCAGCAGAAGATGATGTATTTCCACTGCTTGATGAAATATGATCAGTTTTATTACTCTGCACTGATGGAGTTTTTGAAAATGAAAAAGATGGTTTCTGTGCAGGAGGAACATCTGTTGAATATCTAAGACTGTAATCAATTGGCTGATCCACATGGTGCTCCTCTTCATTATATTTTATGCTATAATTAGTTGGATGATCTTCTTCCTCATGCTGTTCCTCTTCAGAGTAATGCTCACTATAATTAGTAGGCTTATCAGTCTCATAATCATCGACCTGACACAAGGACTGATTCACTTTGGGATTTATTCCATGATTACATCCTACTCTGTTTTGTTCTGAATTGCTGGATTCTCGTGATCTGAAAGTAGATACACATTCTGGCTGTCCAAAAGCTGACTGGTAACTCAGGTGTTTATTATCACCACTCTCAGGATATACAGGATAAGCTCCACTTTGACTTCTGGATTGCCTTTGCTCATTCTGCTTTATTTCTTCTTCTATTACATGCTTAGGTCTTGCCCATCTTTCATTCTGGGATGGGCTCTGCCTTCCAGAATTCAATTGTTCATCAGAATATTTCAGACTATAGTTTATTGGAGTATCCAATTCTCCATCATTGTCATCCATATGATTAGCACTGTGTATTTTATGAGCTAAATCAGCAGGATACTGTCCATAACTGCAAAATTTACTTTCTTCGTCTTCAGAATAAGATTCTATAGGCTTCATTTGTCCTCTTTTACCATACCCATCACTGCTACTGACACTGTTTAAGCTATCATTAGAAGCTCTTTTATACTCTACTTTTGAGTATGGTAGAGAACATGTCCTGTTCTCAGATTTTGGAAAGTTGTAACTATTTGTGTGAGAATGAGCAGTAGAAGTTCTTCTTAAAGCATTCCTGTCTTCTGACAAACAGTGAATTTCTGTTACAGATCCATTGCTTCTTTCTTCTTGTGAAATATGAATATTTGTTGCTTCCTCCATTACTTTTGAAATCTGAGCAGCAGCAGTAGAAATTTGCATTCCTATTCGTTTAGAAGAGCTGCCAGAATTTTCTGCTGAGGAGTGATAGCTGTTTAATCCCACTGCACGGTCTCTATCTAAACTCCGGTCTTTCTCAGAACGAGAACTCTCTGTATTTCCTCTGCTTGAGGATGAGGAGCCAGGCAACACTGTAGTATTTAAATATGGTGAAAGTACAGTCACATTACCACTGCTAAAATTCTCTGACCTGCAAACTCCATCTTCGTGGCGATTACCATCCAAAACATATTCACTGTAAAGATTCTGTTTATGTCTTTGCTTATTGCGGTGAGATGTTTTGGGACTTAAGTTATCAATGTTGTCAAAAGTCTCAGATAATTGTTGAGCATCTAATTCTGCTTCCAGTGCTTTTTGCTTCCTGACATGAAGAGATGGTAAGCTTGAACCTGGAGACATAATATTAGCATCTTTATATTTTGCAGGTCTGTTTGCCATTAAATTCCTTAGAGCTGCAGCACTCCCCATGGCTATCATTTTGTGCTTCGAATGTATGAGATTTTTTAGCATACTAACTGCTCCCAAGTCCCATAATGCTTCCTGGTCCTTTGCATTCCGTGCAGACAAGTTCCACAATGTTCCACATGCATTACTGACAATTGTCAAACTGTGAGACTTCAAATGATGTAAGAGGGTTTGCAAGCAGGTATTCTCTCTCAATATTTGCCTGAAATTAAGGTGTAAGCATAAAAAATAATTGCATTAACAATATGAAAAACCTCAAATGTATCAGCGTGTTATTTTCTATAGATAACATGGCTCTTAAGCATCTGAATGACAAATCCTCTTAAAGACTGGATCAAAAATGTTGTACAGTACTATGGAAACAACTGTTTCCAACAGATCATCTACTTGCCCCAATGACAAAGGAGATAGCCATGTGAATTTTAATTTAGGTAGTCACAATAACAACAGTAAAAAGAGGCAGTAGATTTTAAACATCTTTTAAAAATGGAGATGTATTTATTTAAATGTATATGACTACCCATCACATCATGAGTTGGGGAAGACAGAAACTTGTCTTTGTAACCTTGGCATATTTCACATCCCCCTTCAAGACATGTCCACCACAAATGTATTATCACTCAAATCTGCTTCCAAACTGGTAGGAACGCCTTTGCCTACCCTCTCAGCCACCCAACTGAAATCTGGCAAGTGTCAGCCCTTTGAGGTAGGTAATCTCAAGAAAGAAGCATGGCAGGGATTCTAGAAATTCTCTTTCTTGTTGTAGGTAGAATAACAGAATCTTGAAAGCCTGTCAGAGTTTCTCTCTACTCTATATTATATCAAATAATATCAAGGCAGATTTATTTTGCATTTCTTTCTCACACTTTTCTGTTTCTTAGAACTGAACAGTCTCTTTTGAAATTCTCCCCTTAACAGGTCACTCATTCTTCCCCATTCCCAAGGTCATACATTCCTTCACAAGAAGCTGCTCATTTCAGGATACTTCATTACATGCCTTACACCAAATTTTAGGTGTAGAAAGGGGGCCTTGCCTTTGTAGGGATACGGAAATCATTCTGTGCATGGAATGGCCAGTTTCAAGTGGTCTGTGCCCAGGTATGGACCAAAAGCACACATATTTGGTTTGGGCATAGATCTAAACACACAGGCAGAAGTGTTTTGGGGTGGACAGAGTGGAGAAAAAGCTAAGGTCATTTGTGGTGGTGCATGGATGCTAAGGACGTACAGGGAAAAGAAGGTATTGGGAAGATTAGGTAGGGAAGACAGCAAATTGGATATGCCACCCTTACTTTTAACATCAGAAGCTAATAGGAGGTGGGGAAAGATATTAGCTGGGGAGATTGGGTGGGTGGGTTGGCACATAGGCCGCAGGGAGCAGGAAGGGACAAAGGAGCGAAGCTCTACTTGCTAGATAAGACCATTCTAGAAGTTTCTGGTTTTTGGTTTGGCTGAACTATGTCTTGGATGGAAAGGTTTGGCTGAACTTTGGAAGCACAATATGTTTGTTTTGGGTTCAAAACAAAACAGACATCCATTTTCTGCATATCCCTAATTATTACATAAAGCTATTAATGCTGACAATGGTATTTCACTTAGATTTTTATACTCTTAATTTGCTGCCATTAGATCAGTGGAATTAAATTTGCCTACATAAAACAGAACTTAAAATGTTCTGCACATAAAGTAATTTTACCTTGGAAATATGAACCTAATGCAGGAGGATGAAAGGGAAACAGGACTACTCAGCTGGCTCTGCTGAGACAGCAGCTCCTCCTCTCCAGGTAAGATCTGATTCCAGAGTTTGCCCCTTCTCTCCCAAATCATTCATGAAATAGCTTTGGCTAAATGGGCAACTAAATAATGTAATAAAGCAGTATACTTATACTTACCTGTGGTCCTCATTTGTAGCAATCAAGCTAGACACATTACGAAGAATTCCCCCTCCACTTTCAATGATGGCTAAAGTATTTGTTTGGCTTCGGTAAGTCAGTGTGCCAACCAAAAAGGCAAGAGCACCATCCACGGCACATATATCAGCTTTATTCTCAGTGCAATGTGCTGATAAGTTCCATAAGGCACTCAATACACTTTTTAGCGTAGATTCCTGCAGAGAGTAAAACATTACATTAGAGTTCCTAGCTGTATAAAAAAATTAACACTTTATTTCAATGGGAGAAATATTAGATATCAGTGGATAAGTAGATTAGTAGATAAGCTGGCCCTGCAGGATCAATACTTTTCCATGCCCCTGACAAGTGCTTGCCAGGCCTTCTTCTCCTCCTCTCCCTCTTTTACTCAAAATAACTGCCTGTGACAGCAATCATGTAGCAACTGTACCACTGTATGAGTCTATACATGTGTGGAATAGAATATATGAGGTATGTATTTGCAAGGAACTTGGGTATGTGTGTTATCTGCTCATTTATTGCTATGTAAGTGTAAATATACCACGGGCATTTTATTGTTTGATTGTAACCCAGTGATAGTCTCTTCCCTGTGGCAAGAAATAAACAAATAAATACATTTACACAAACATGTACATTAACAGGTGCACTCCAAAGACATAATGTAGCACTAATAAAAATATTTAAAACTGTAAACATAAACAAGGATTGGTAGAGAACATCTGTCTCCCAAAAGTCAAGCTACTTTTATTTTGGTAGTTATTTCCCATCAGCTTTTAGAACAGTTTAATCTTAAACATATTTATTAAGTGTCATTTACTAAATGGAAATTACATCTATAAATTCAAACAGACATTAATCTATGGGAACTAATTGATTTTACCCAACTTATTCAGTTGAGTTTACTGGGATTCAAGTGTGATTAATTTAATCCATAACCAACTAAATTTGTTCTAAGCCATTACTACTACAAAATAAAATACAAAATAAAAACAGCAGTCAAATAAAAATGGCAAATGCTTATTTAGAACAGTACCATAAGTGGAAGGGACTTTTTTTAAAACCAATTTTTAAAAAAGAAACCCCATTTTTAAACTATTTTTTTAATCTACTTCCTTCACAGAGAAGCTTCAACTTTCCAGGGACTACAACTGATGATAGTCTTTTTTCACAAAAGTAACTACTAGGACACTCTCTTATGTATTACTCTTAAATGAGGAAATAGAATAAAGTTCTGTTTAAATACTAAAGAAATACTGATTTGCTACAGTACCTTTTTAACTTCCAAAGCACACTCCATCAATGCTTTCACACTCCCAACCTCTCGTAGTGTCTTCTTACTGTTCACATCTGCCCGCCAAGACAAATTTCTTAAAACACTTGCAATAACCTATAACATTACCAGTGAAATAATCAGAAAGAGTAATGTGCTTTAACTATCATGTATTTAATAGATTCTTACTTAGGAATTCTGAGAAACAGTTTATGACATACTCATTTTAATATGCTAATTCATATATTGATTTTAAACAATTTAATGCTTGGGAGTTTGAATCAGAAATCTAGAATGTCATCTTCATTCTTCTTCCTAGTGTATTCCCGCAGGTGCAGGGTCCACTTTTTGGATCAACGAACACCATTTTATGCAATCTAGAATGTATTTTTTTTAATATGTCATAAAAACTCATAATGGACTCTACATACCTGAGGAAAATGATTTTTTTTTGTTCTTTACACTATTTATCTGTCAAAATGAAAGTGCTCTAATATAGCATTGTGAAATATGAAAACATTTCCAATTTAAGTATGATTTTTAACATAAGGTATTTAATATAAAAGAAAGCAATTCTCACGGTGAGAAAATAAGCTGCATCAATATAAAATCCTGAGTTTGGACATTGTTTATAACAAATTATCATATTTGGTGGACTTTCAGATATTATGAATTAGTTCAACTCAACATTAATCCATTTAAAACTAAAAAAAAGTCAAATGTGGTAAAACAAAGGGCAAATAACACTAAAATAATGCTTGGTCTGTTCAACTAATCATTATTAGTGACTGTATAGCTCCTCAAATTTGCCTCTGGTCAGATCAACTGTTTTCTATTTCTCAAAAAAGCAAGTTCAGAAAAATTATGTCAGTTAATGTGATACTAATTGAAAGAATACAGAATAAGCAAATAAAATAAGATAGCTTTTGAAAAATGAGAGGATCCAGATAGCAGACTACAGTATACAAAGGAAGCAAAAAGAAATGCTGAATGAAAATTGTAAATATACAGAAACAGAATGTTCTTCCAGCAATAAAGCTTACCTGCTGCAAATCTTCACTTTCAGATTTTAACTGTGCTACTAAAGCTCTCATGCAACCTTTCATAGAACACAAAGTAGCCTATTTAAGAGAGAGAGAGAGAGATTTTATGAAGCAGGCAATTAGAATTATGTTGACAGTTGGGGATAAATTAATTTATTTAATGGAAAACGATATAGAATTATTTCTATTCTATATGTCTGTACTTAGCACACTAAAGGCTTCCCATAAAACTAAAGTAATAAATGAGTATGACAAACATAGTAAGTCAGAAGCAGTTTAATTTTTTTCTAGGAGAGATTTAACAGAACATCTCAACTGAGAATCCCTAAACCTAACTGAATACCAAAGGGGAAAAATTCTGAAACTTCATGGGAAAAAATCTGAAATAAGCATTTCAAAAATCACAATAAAGCACACATCCAAAAATACATTCAAATAATTCATGGTACAAACATAAGCAACACTTTAACGTGTTAATGTAAATACACATCAACAGTCATTACATAAAACAAGAGTAGGAAGCATAATCTATTTTTTAAAAAGCTGTTTATTCCCAACAATTTCAGTGAATAAAGAGCTGGACGTATAAGATGAAATGAAAAGAACTGGATGTTGGCTCATTATAATTAATTCACACAAAAAGAATGAAAAACTGCTGATGATAGGCTTAGATGGCACATAGATTCCGAGTTTACAATAAGACTTAAAATAGCAAGAATCAATCTCTATTTCTGCCAAGTAAAACAACATCTATTGCAATAAACAGAAATAAATCCAAACAGATTCAAACCTACCTTATTGGCTACATCTCCAAAAGTTAAATTTGTCAGAGCCATTCCAGCATATCGTCTTAATGTGACACTATAATGGTCATTAGTAAGCCCATACATTTCACAATCTACCTGTAGCAATTCTGCAATGGCTTGTAAACCCCCTATTAAAAATAGTTGAAAGGTTTGTTAGAAATATTTTGCTAAAGTGGCATGTTTATTCTCCAAAATTCCTTTTTTAAAAATGTTAATACAAAAAAAGAAAGAAAAAAGAAATATAATTATTATGGCTTTATTGTACACAAGAGAAGCAAAATTTATCACTCTTGGAAACAGTGCAACCTCAGATTTACAATCCTGGATTATAGATATATGTTCTGTTTCTATTTACTGATTTAATGGAAACTCTAATGAATATTATTTTGTGGGGTTTAATGACTTGTTTGAAATCTAAGATGAATTAATTTCTTGTATGCTCCAAATGCAAAATATGAAGCAAGGGAATTGGACTATGCAAAGCATGTTAGCACAAGCAAAACACCTCTCCTCCAAGTGTTGAAGCAGCTGCATCTTTTGGAAAGTTCCATGGCTGTTCTGAAAACTGCCCTGGTTATTGATAGATGCATGTACAGGTAATCCTCAATTTACGACCACAATTGGGACCCAAATTTCCATTGCTAAATGATGCAGTCGTAAAGTGAGACATTACATGACTGCATCACTTAGTGACCATAATCCCAGCACTCCACGTTACCATTTTTACATGAGAACTGTGGGTCGTTAAGTGAGTACCCACCGCAATCCAAGCCATTCTGGGCTTGGTCCCTCCCAGCCCCGAACCTCAGGAAGGTAAGCAACTGTTTTGAATTCCCCCCACCAGCATATCTCCCCATTTCTGCCCTTTTGGCTGCCCTGCACTCTACCTTGCAGGGCAACAAGCAGCCCCAGAACCACGTGGTTCTAGGGTTACTTGCCACACCCTGAGAAGCCACAGCCACCCCAGCCCAGTCCCAGCCACAGTCACCCTTGTCACCGTGTACCCCGAGACTCCTGCCACCCTGTGCTCCACTGCTCCCGCTGACCTTCACCGTCTTCTTGCTCTGGCTAATGAGGCATGCCTGGCCAGGCTGCTGGGCCGGGCTGGGGCTGGGCCTCGTGCTGTGAAAAAGAAAAAAAAAAAAGAAGCCAAAAGCAGCCCCTGAGCTGCAGTGTGCCAAAAAGCCCCTTTGTCTTTGCTGCTTTTTGCAGGTTTTTTTTGGGGGGGGGACATGAAGCCCAGCCCAGCCCTGCCCACAAGCTCTTTGCAAAATGGATTTTTGGTGTGCTGTGGCTCTGGGGCTGCCTTTGGCCTTTTTTTTCCCCCACATCATGAAGCCCAGCCCCAGCCCTGCCCAGCAGCCAGGCCAGGCATACCTCATCAGCAGTGGGAGCAAGAAGATGGAGGAGGTCAGCTGGGGCAGTGGAGTGCAGGGCAGCAGGGGGCCAAAAGAGCATAAATGCAGGGGAGAGATAGGCGAGTGGGGGGAGCTGAAGTGCCTCTGTGGTTGTAAGTGTGGGCAGGCTACCAAGTGCCCAAATTTTGATCACGTGACCTCAGGAGCACTGCACCAGCCATAACTTTGGGCACAGGTATAAGTACCTTCATTCAGCACTATCGTAACTTTGAACAGTCGCTGAACGAATGGTCATAAGTTGAGGACTACCTATACAACTTTTGGTCTGAGACTGCCAGTGAAGATAAATCTAATTTGACCACACTAGATAATGCATGTAACAGTTAATATAACAGTTTAATTAAATTGGTGGAAAAGCTTGTGTGTGTGTGTGTGTGTGTGTGTGTGTGTGTGTGTGTGAGATCTCTCTGTTGGCATAATAGAGCTACAACGCCAATATGGATTTTGGAATGCTTCTCTTGGCTAGC